TTATTATTATTATTATTATTATTATTATTATTATTATTAAAGTGCAACAGCCACAGGCTATAGGGATGCTCTGTTTTTTGTTCTGTTTTGTTTAAAACAGCTCCTCGTTCCATTCTACCCTAGATACAAAAGAGCAGAGCTGTGAAAACTGTACAACATCCAACCCCACCATCATTCATTGCCTTCGGTCTTTGATGAGAACAACGTCCCCACTGCCTCAGCAAACTTCCCTGATCAGAGTTAGACTTCTCAGCAGGGTTCAAAGGCTCTATAGACAAAGATTGTGGAGACAAAAATCCTGAGAGGAAACAAGTCTCTAGGTTTTCTGTCTTTTAAGAGAAGTATATATCCAAAACCTCAATACTTGATATCAATTCGATCTACTGTTTTAAAGATTCAATTTTAATTCTCTTGGGCTTTTGTTTCATGAAAATATCACATTCACTAGTCTACTAAAAGTTGTGCCTACAAAGCACGACGGCACCAGCCAGGATGTTGCTTCAAGCAGGGTAAATTCACCCAGCCTAGGATAGCGCCCGGCCTATTATGGCAGCAGTGTCCCGGGTCACAGCCGGCGGGCTGCCTCTGACTGAATCAAATGCTCCGTTATCTTTTGGCCAACTGCTGGGAAGAGACAAGGAAGGGCGTTGTGCATTGTTGCGAGTACGCTGAGCACGACGTCGAACTCGACACATAAATTGCCCTTTTAGACGCCAGAGTCGAGCGCCGTTCTGAGCGATGCCGCGAGTACACATAACGAGTGCCTCTGAGTTCGTGCAGAGGGCTTTCCGCCCAGCCTCCGCTGGGGGGGGGGGAGGAGGCTTCCCGTATTCCGTGCTCCCTTGGCAGTCGGACATAATAGCGGTGCAAGCCCGGCGCTACCAGTCCCACCTGCCGCCTCCTCGCAAAATAAACCGGACAGGGAGGCGAGAAGGGCCCGCCCGCCGCCGCCGCCGCCGCCGCCACCACCGAGGGCGTGGTGCGCGGAGCCGGGCTGCCTCCGGGAGGCCGCTCCTGCCATTGGCTTCCCCTGCAGCGGAGGCTGGGCTAGGCAAGCCGGGAGGGACGGAGGGGAGGGGAGGGGGAGCAGGGAAAGTTGCTGGCTGCGCCATGCAGTTCCCACTCGGCCCGGGAGTTTGCGCGGGACTGGCGGAGCCGGGAGCCCAGGCGCGAGAGAGACAGGTAAGCTGATGCCGGCGGGGCTGGGCAAGTGCGGCGCGCGGTCCGGGACGAAGGGCTTCTTCTTGCGTCCACGCCTTGTCCCCGGCTGAGCTTCGCAGGCTGAAGCCTCTCCTCAGCGTCCTCGCCCTCCCGGCCCAGAAGGCAGAGTGACGAGTCCGGTCTCCTGTCGCCAGGTTAAATCAGCCCCCCCCCTCCCCGCTTACGCCCGCCCGAAGGGGCGGGGAGGGATGTCTGACCCGACGGCTCGACCGCGCGCATCTTTCCCTGGAAAGGCCAACCCTGGAGCCGGCGGGCATGGGAGGTAGCCGTAGGGCGAGGGGGGGGGGTTGCTTCCTAGCA